AGGCCGTAAGTGATACCCGACAGCGCGGAAAAGCTGGATTTGAGTAGGCAGAGTTGAGCGTGGCCAGGGGACATAATCCTAAAATTTCAGACTCCTAGACTCCATAATTCCCGAGATAATAATTTACCTGTCAAAAACTTCCACGTGGCCGTACTTGTTACCCGCGGGCAGGGGAAAGCTGAATTTAAATTTCCTGGGTAGCACATGGGCGGGAGACATGCCCACAAAATTTCTGCCTTCTATCTTCCGTGATTCCCGACACATTGGTTTTAACCAAAAAACTTTTACGGGACCGTACGTGTTACTCGCGCGTACAGGTAAGCTGATTTCAAATTCGCCGTGTCATCTGTCGGGGGGAGGAGGGCGGGGGAACACTATACTAAAATTTCAGCTGCCTAGCTTTTGTGGTTCCCGAGTTGAAAGTGTGGAACAAAATGTGGGGCACACACACACAGACAACCCCGTGACAATATGCGTTCTGTACTGCTGTTACATAGCACAAAACGCATAAAAACCCATTCAAATTTCCATTCTGAAATCTCCGATATGCATAATGTCACAACAACAGCAATCAGTTTTTATGCGTTTTGTGCTGTGTGATAACAGCACACGCCTCAGTATATGTATTCGAGTGAATTTAGTCCCGCCTTTCAATTCGTAAGCCACGAAAGCTGGGACGCTGAAATTTAAGTAGGATATCCCCTGCTCATGTACGATGCCGCAAATTTAAATCCAGTCTTCACGTTCGCTTGGGTACCACGTATGCCTCCGTGAAATTCTTGGTGGGGAAAATTATCACTCGGGAACCGCGAAACTGTGAAGCTGGAATTTTAGGGCAATGTCTCCTGCCCACGTACGAAATCGCAAATTCAAATTCAACTTTCACTTAAACCTGAGTCGCACGTATGCCCTCGAGGAAGTTTTAGTGGAGAAATTATTATTCTGTAACCAGAAGAGCTAGGAGGCTGAAAACTTAGCGAGAATGTTTCAAGAAACAAACTAAAATTTAGCTCCAAAGTATGACGAGATCTCATGCACGATTACTTGAAAGTTTTGACGTGGAAATAAATCGAAAGCTAGAGAACTAGGAGACTGGAATTTGGGACGGTATTTACCGTTCAAGGTTTCGAATTCAGCTTCCACGTACGTTTGCGTTTCAGGTACCGGTATGTGAAATTTTTGATGGGAAATTTCGCAGCTTGCAGAACAGACTGCATATGGACTATTTTTGCACAGACTAAAGTGTAACACGGTGAAAATCATTAGCAAGCAAGCATCAACTGGACGGAGCTGCGTACGATGCATAATCGCACTGATTACCCTTGCGCGGCACTATTTATTCAATTTGACCTTAAAATTAAAACCAAAAGAGAAGAACACCTCAGCAACTTACTTTTTAAGAAATGTAGTAGGCCCAGTGGTCGAATCTGCCCGCATCAGAAACCACGCAGTGGCGGAGTTGTCCTTAATCAATGCCTCCTCCGTCAACTATTTGCAAGCAAACTGATGGTGGGTGGATTTGGCAACCCGCCAGGCGTCCCACTCCTAATCTACCATCCGAATAGCGGGGCAAAATCGAGCTCCCCCACGGTGGAAACGAACTCTCGAGCTCCAGCTCAGGCCTGGCGCTGCTTGGCACTGCGCCAAAATCGTAACAAACTGGAGGTGTGAAGAAAGTACACAAACATCAGGTGGCGAGCAGTAGGCGGTGACCGACTGACCTCAGCGCAGCCAGCACTGGCTGCTGCCGCTGCTGCCCTGACTGTCGCTGGTGCACGCCTCCCACATCTCGCGCAATGGCCAACCCGCCAGCGGCACTCTCCGGAGCCCTTCCCCCCGCCCCCAACACTGCTCAGCTTAGTCCCGCCTTCTCGCGCACTACTACAGGTGGGCGTTCCCGTTAAAAAACACCGAATAGCCATCGGCCTAACTCACTTGTTGTTGTTGCTGTTGCTGTTGTTGCTGCTGCTGCACGGACGTGTTGTTCGCGTTACCCGGGGTACCATCGCTGCTGCTGCGTTGCTGCTGCTGCTGCTTCGGCAAGATCGGCGGAGTATCCTGCCGCTGCTGCTGCTGCTGTTGCTGCTGCTTCGGGGGCGGTACCATGGGGCAGGGAACGCTGTCGGTAGCCATCACCATATAGCACGGGGCGGAACAAACGATCACTTCTCGAGGCGGACTGAAATGCAAAATCACGCACGCCTACTCGTCGCAACGCACGCCCAGAATGAGTGCTACATCAACCACACCCCATGCACAATCGATCGGAACCGGCTGAGGGAGGCACCTGCCTTTCTGCGACGGCTCCCACTCTGATTGGTCGCCTTCCCGGTGGGCGGAGCCGCCAGCGCTGGCAAGAGATGGTCGGGCGCGCGAGGGCTGCACAAACAAGCAGCGAGCTGTGAGAATAGCAAAGCAACACGCCCACTCCGACCGAGAAGCTATGCTGAAGAGAGGGAGGAGAGGTGAAGACCCAAGGTTGGGCATGGTGTGTTTTGTTTGGTTTTGTCCGGGTTTTGGTGTACTGGGCGTCCCGCATCGGGTATTGTTGTCGGAATACCGAAATGTCGTTGTGGCGTAGCTTTTGACGGCCCTCCCCGTTTTTTTTTTTCCTACGGTCTTTTTACGTGGGTAGCTCCAGGGGGCGGGGGAGGGAGGGGTGTTTCGCGGTCCCTCCCCAGCGGCTTTGGTAGCAGTTATTTTACTGTAGAAAAGGCTACTTGAAACCCCCTGTTGCCCTTCTCAAGAAGCCTTCGAGAGGAGGGAGGGGGTAGTGAGATGACCAGGAGGGAGGGAGGCGGGAGTAGGGTGGTGGGCCGTTGAGTGTAATGACGAGCGAGGCGGAGGGGGCCAGTGAGACGTTCGAAGAGGTGGGGGGAGGGGGGAGGTGTAATGACGAAGAGAGGCGAGATGAAAATTCCCCCCCCC